TATTTTCATAGGAGATTACTAAAATCGGATGCGCATAAAAATCGTATGCACGTTGCGTGATTTTTAGCCATTTTTAGGGTTTTTGCATAGTAAAGTGCATCGAGTGGCACACTTTGACCGCTAAATTAAACATTGAAAAATTAATAATTATTGAAAGACATTGATTCGGTTTATACGAAAATCGCATGCGCATCAACTGATTTCAATTAATTCGCGAATTGCAAGCTTTTCAATATTGATCATTTTTATGTATTGTAAATGCAATATATTTAGCCATTAATGACGTCGAAACTCTTATCAGATGAATCTGCCGATATTTAACAATCATCTAAAAGAATTTGCAGAAGAAAGCGTCGTATATTTTAGAAGATTAAGGCAAAACCGTATCCTCTTAACCATACTAAAAAAATCGAAAATTCAAAAAAAAAATAGTTTTAATTCAAAAATTAATTTATTTTATTTTCCGATATCTTCATGTTTCTATTTGTTTTTCGCGACTATTAAACCGTATTTCAGTGTGATTTGACTAGTATGCAAAGAAAACAATGGTGTTTAAGCATTTGTGAAGAAATTCGCGAATTACAACGAATAGGAATTCATTTAATATATATTTGAAATACAAGATTTAAAACCGCTATAACTTTTGTGCGCAGCATCCGAATTTGTGAACGCGAACAGATTTCGAATCAGCATATTTTTCTTAACCTATGTACCAAAAATCATAAATGTGCTCGCAAAAAAAATTTTCAAAATTTTTTTAATGGAATTTTAAAAGAATTTTGTAATTTCCCATATAAAAATTATAGGAACAATAGGAGATGGTATTGAAAAGAAGATACATTGTCAATGAAATAAAAATGTTGTTGACTTAGGTAATGTATCTCTAACATTAAACAAATTGCTGAAAATAATCGTCATGTCCCCTGAAGCATTTGTCGTCAGGTCCCCATAGAAGGTCGTCAGGTTCCTTAGAAAAAAATTCGTCAGGTCCCCTGAGACATTTTTTTCCATAGGAAAAAAAAAATCATCAGGTCCCTGAGGCATTTTTTTCATAAAAAAAATCGTCAGGCCCCTGAGCCATTTTTTTGCATAGAAAAAAATCGTCAGGTCCCCCGAGGCATTTTTTCCATCGAAAAAACTCGTCAGGTCCCCTGAGAAAAATAGATAGAAAAAAACTCGTCAGGTTCCCTGAGGTGTTTTTTCCTATAGAAAAAAACTCGTCAGGTTCCCTGAGGTGTTTTTTCCTATAGAAAAAAATTCGACAGGTCCCCTGAGGTGTTTTTTCCTATAGAAAAAAATTCGTCAGGTCCCCTGAGGTGTTTTTTCCTATAGAAAAAAATTCGTCAGGTCCCCTGAGGTGTTTTTTCCTATAGAAAAAAATTCGTCAGGTCTCCTGAGGTGTTTTTTCCTATAGAAAAAAATTCGTCAGGTCCCCTGAGGTGTTTTTTCCTATAGAAAAAAATTCGTCAGGTCCCCTGAGGTGTTTTTTCCTATAGAAAAAAATTCGTCAGGTCCCCTGAGGTGTTTTTTCCTATAGAAAAAAATTCGTCAGGTCCCCTGAGGTGTTTTTTCCTATAGAAAAAAAATCGTCAGGTCCCCTGAGGTGTTTTTTCCTATAGAAAAAAATTCGTCAGGTCCCCTGAGGTGTTTTTTCCTATAGAAAAAAATTCGTCAGGTCCCCTGAGGTGTTTTTTCCTATAGAAAAAAATTCGTCAGGTCCCCTGAGGTGTTTTTTCCTATAGAAAAAAATTCGTCAGGTCCCCTGAGGTGTTTTTTCCTATAGAAAAAATTCGTCAGGTCCCTGAGGTATTTTTTTCCTATAGAAAAAAATTCGCCAGGTCCCCTGAGGTGTTTTTTTCCTATAGAAAAAAATTCGTCAGGTCCCCTGAGGTTTTTTTTCCTATAGAAAAAAATTCGTCAGGTCCCCTGAGGTGTTTTTTTCCTATAGAAAAAAATTTGTCAGGTCCCCAGAGGTGTTTTTTCCTATAGAAAAAAATTCGTCAGGTCCCCTGAGGTGTTTTTTTCCTATAGAAAAAAATTCGTCAGGTCCCCTGAGGTGTTTTTTTCCTATAGAAAAAAATTCGTCAGGTCCCCAGAGGTGTTTTTTCCTATAGAAAAAAAATCGTCAGGTCCCCAGAGGTGTTTTTCCTATAGAAAAAAATTCGTCAGGTCCCCTGAGGCGTTTTTTTTCCTATAGAAAAAAAAATTTCGTCCATAGAAAAAAATTCGTCAGGTCCCCTGAGGCATTTTTTCCATAGAAAAAAAATTCGTCAGGTCCCCTGAGGCATTTTTTCCATAGAAAAAAATTCGTCAGTTCCCCTGAGGTATTTTTTTCCATAGAAAAAAATTCGTCAGTTCCCCTGAGGTGTTTTTTTCCTATAGAAAAAAATTCGTCAGGTCCTCAGAGGTGTTTTTTCCTATAGAAAAAAATCGTCAGGTCCCCAGAGGTGTTTTTTCCTATAGAAAAAAATTCGTCAGGTCCCCTGAGGTGTTTTTTTTTGGCACAGTTCACTTATTTGGCCCAAGGACGAACCCTATTGAAATTGGGAAAAATCGGTTCAGATTTAGATATAGCTGCCATATATATTTTCGTCCGATTTAAGGTAAATGGTGCACCAAAGTCCCTATATATCGTTCGATTTCCACGAAATGAATTAAGCCTAGAATGAATTAAGCCTAGAATGATGTCTGCCAAGTTTCGTGAAAATCGGTCCAGATTTAGATATAGCTCCCATATATATTTTCGTCCGGTTTTAGGTAAATGGTGCACCAAAGTCCCTGAAAATCATTTGATTTGCGCGAAATTTGACATAACGTATTGAATTGAGCCTAGAGTGATGTCTGCCAAGTTTCGTGAAAATCGGTCCAGATTTATATATAGCTCCTATATATAGTTTCGTCCGGTTTTATGTAAAAGATTCACAAAAGTCCCTATAAATCTTTCGATTTGCACGAAATTTGGAATAGCATACTGGATTGAGCCTGGAATGATGTGTGCTGAGTTTCGTGGAAATCGGTTCAGATTAAAATATATATAGTTCCGTCAGATTTAATGTAAATAATGTACCAAAGTTCTAATATTGCATAGATCGATTGATTTTAAGTAATTGACGCTCCAAGGAACCAATATATGGTTGATAGGAACAAAACGTACTGAAATTAGTGTAACCCAACCTGTGACAAGTTTCGTTGAAATCGGTTTATATTGGATATAGATTCCACATATATTTTCGTCCGATTGTAAGTAAACGGTGCAAATGGTGTTTGTCAGATTGACATGAAATTTTGCACAACGTACAAAATTGAGCATAGAATAACGTAGTTGCGTTTTCTAGAAGTACAGACATAGCACAACGGCCCAGCATTTGTCCCATTGTAACACACAAATGACATGCTTATAGATTGATCTAAGTTGATTCACATTTAGATAAATATCACATATTTTGTTTCATCCAATTTCATGTTAATAGTCCTGTTTAATATACCCATAGTGGTGAAGGGTTCCTTACTGGTTTCCTATAGAAAAAATTCGACAGGTCCCCTGAGGTGTTTTTTCCTATAGAAAATAATCGTCAGGTCCCTGAGGCATTTTCTTCCATAGAAAAAAATTCGTCAGGTCCCCTGAGGTATTTTTTCCATAGAAAAAAAATTCGTCAGGTCCCCTGAGGCATTTTTTCCATAGAAAAAAAATCATCAGTTCCCCTCAGGTATTTTTTCCTATAGCAAAAAATATATCGGGTCCCCTGATATATTTTTTCCTGTCGAAAAAAATTCGTCAGGTCCACTGAGGTATTTTTTCCTATCGAAAAAATAATTGTCAGGTCCCCTGTATTTTTTCCTATCAAAAAAAATTCGTCAGGTTCCCTGATGTATTTTTTCCTATAGAAAAAAAATTTGTCAGGTCCCCTGAGGTGTTTTTTCCTATCGAAAAAAATTCGTCTGGACCCCTGAGGTGTTTTTTCCTATAGAAAAAAGTCGCCAGGTCCCCTGAGGTGTTTTTTCCTATGGAAAAAAGTCGTCAGGTCCTCTGAGGTGTTTTTTCCTATAGAATAAAAGTCGTCAGGTCCCCTGGGGTATTTTTTCCTATAGAAAAAAATTCGTCAGGTCCCCTGAGGTGTTTTTCCTATAGAAAAAAATCGTCAGGTCCCCTGAGGTATTTATTCCTATAGAAAAAAGTCGTCAGGTCCCCTGAGGTGTTTTTTCCTATAGAAAAAACTCGTCAGGTCCCCTGAGTTGTTTTTTCCTATAGAAAAAACTCGTCAGGTCCCCTGAGTTGTTTTTTCCTATAGAAAAAACTCGTCAGGTCCCCTGAGTTGTTTTTTCCTATAGAAAAAACTCGTCAGGTCCCCTGAGTTGTTTTTTCCTATAGAAAAAACTCGTCAGGTCCCCTGAGTTGTTTTTTTCCTATAGAAAAAACTCATCAGGTCCCCGGATGTGTTTTTTCCTATAGAAAAAAGTCGTCAGGTCCCCGGAGGTGTTTTTTCCTATAGAAAAAACTCGTCAGATCCCCTGAGGTGTTTTTTTCCTATAGAAAAAATTCATCAGGTTCCCTGAAGTGTTTTTCCTATAGAAAAAAAATCGTCAGGTCCCCTGAGGTGTTTTTTCCTATAGAAAAAAATAGACATTGATCAACACCTAAAATCTGGTACGAACCCTGTTTTCTTTCGTGTTCTGCACCCGGTGTTCTAAGATTGATAATTTATACAGCGTTGTTAAACTAAACAGGAAGTAAAATATGGCAAATGTTTTTTTTCGAAAATGGCATCGATAACATGACCCTAAATCTGGAAACCTTGAGAACATGTCCTCCAAGAAGGTGGCTCGAATTTCTAAATCACTTTAACCCTCTATACAATTTTCATTTTCAGTCAATAGCCTATATTTTAATAATATTAATTAACAACGACAGTTTTCAAATACATTAAAAGATTTCCATGAAATATACTAATACCACAATAAATAGATTTACAATAATACACGAACAAAATTTCCCAACTTACCTTTAGGCGGTGACGAATGATAGTATAAGCCTTGAAAACGACGTCGACGTTTGGGAGGCATTTTTGTTCCTTCTATTTATTTCGTCTCGTTTCGTTTCAATATTTAATTGTTGACAACAAAAACTTTGTTAATTATTTACCCGCCGTGTACAATGAATTCATTAGGGCGGACAATATTTGTTGGTTTAGTTTCCGTTTTACAATTCTCATCGATAAATGGAAGAAAACTGAACTCGAGGACGACGGTGGCGATGAATGAATGGCATGGAATGACCGAAACAAAATGTAATGACGAATTCAATAATACAACAACTACACGACTCGACAATAACGACGATTGAAGATTACGACCGTATTCACGAAGACTTCGTTGATGTTTAACAAATTGTTACAATTTTTTTTTTATTTTTTACTAGCCACAAATTGTTTTTAATAAAAATTTTCCACACAACATTTCATACATATGAATTTTTAGATATTTCACTTGTCTCTCATTTTTGTTTTGTTGGTGTTATTTTTGTTGTTGTTGTTTTTGCTAATAACATTGCATTGATGTCTATCAGCTCACGTTCACCTCATTTCAACATCGTGTTTGAAACTAATTTATCATATCTTATGACCTGAGGTGGAATTTTTGCATTCGCCATTTTTGTTGTTGTTTTATTATATTCTGTGAAATAGAAATGACACCGGAAAATAAGTCATATTTTTCTCACTTGGGTTTTTACACAAAATGCCATGTATTAGTGTTTTCATATTTTGTCACTATCCTGTTGGACAATTCAATTCATGGCGATGATTATTATAATAATTATTATTATTTTTGTGGTAATAATGATGTTGAAAAAAATTAGAACGAAATGCATTCAGTTAAAAACACACACACATACACTGATGACTGATAGAAATGTATATGAACCATTGCATGCAGAGGGATGAAGTTTTTTTTTAAGGTGGGAGGTTTTGTAATCTATCATTTTTTAATAGGAAATAATTTTTCCTATATTTTTCGGCCGAAATTATATATGGAAGCTATATTTAAATCTGCTTACAAAATCATTTAATCAAATCGGAAGAAAATACATATGGGAACTATGTCTAAATCTGAACTGATATCTTATCCCCTGAGAACCTCAAATAACCAATTGCTATAATTTTGGCTGAAGAGTGATGCTGGGGCTTCAAAATACTTAAGATCGAGCGGAGCCCTTTTACAGGGGCCATGTCAAAACCTTTTCTGCTAGAAAATATTTTAGTCTCCGCTCAAACTTGGAACTTGACGAATATTAAGTGTAGCCACTATTGTTGAAAAAGACACCTTAAATTGGACGTGCCGAGAACATATGAACAGTTCGGTTATTATACGAAGAAGCCATTTTAGTTGTAAAATTCGACTAGGATCCTCAAACTATTTAACCAAAATCGGTTGTAATGCGACAATATGAACCTACTTGAATAGGTCCATTCTGTGACACATATATAACTATCGGATTCGATATTAAAAATGAAAAAAATATATCGGTACCATATATGGGCGCTATGTCTTATCATTAGGTCACATTAAATTTTTTTCTTCGGGAACATTCAAGGCCACATTATAGTACGTTTACATTGTATCGGATTTCGTTAACATAGTGGGTAAAAATTGGCAATATATATTGTAAATATGCCAAATAAATCCTCATACTGTAGGTTAACCCGGTAAAAACTTCTAATGTAAATCCTGTTTTACAGTCAATATTTTTTGATACTGTTATACATTAAATAGCTGCGGATTGGATCTATTTTAGAGTGGAGTCAGAATCAGACACTTCAATGCAATTTTGTAAACACAGTACAGCCCACAGTATTTTGCATGTAGGACGGGTTCTGGCCAAAGAAGATCACTATTGTTGGAATGGACCAAAAACTTAATGTTTGTCTGTTTTTCTGTCTAGTCGCTCTAGAGGCCACAATTATGACAGGAACATCACGAAATTTTACACATAGAAAGAGATCTGACCATGGAGTAAGCATGACAGCTCTGATGAAGACCTTACGGCTAATGAGGGTATATACATTTTGCTACAGCAGACATGTGCCTCATCTAAAATATTGGTTTTGACCCCATGTTTCTTTGGACCAAATCCGTTTCAGACAATTTGGAGTCGATTTAAAAATGACTGGCTGGCTGTTGCGCACGATAACTCTCGAAGGGAGTAACCGATTTCATCCCAACTTTGCACATCCTATTTTTTCTTCTAAACTTTGCTTATGTTAAGATTGCACCGATCGATCCACTTCTTCTGGTACCTCCCCCACAAGCGGTCAATATTTGTAAACCCAATATCGGGCTAATAAATGTCCGATTTGAACCAACTTTTGCACATCATGTTATCTTTACCTAACCTAGATCAAGTTCGAAGATGGGTCCCATTGGTCCACTCCTGCATGTACCTCAATATTTCCAATGTCCGATTTTAACCAAATTGTGCACTACTTATTATTAATGTAGTTACCAAGCCTAAATCTAAGCCGAAGATAAGACTCATTCGCTCACTCCTTCTGGTACCTCCCTAACAAATGGTAGAAACTTTCAAGAAATCCAATATCAGGCGAATGAAATTTCCGATTTTAGCCAAAAGTTGCACAAAATATTATCTTCTCGAAGTCAAAATCAAGTCCTAAGATGGGATCCATTGGTTCACCCCTTCTATATTTCAATATTCTAATATTTTCAATATTTATAAATCCAATATCAGGCGATTGGAATGTCCGATTTGGACCAAACATTGCCCGACCTATCATATTTACCAAGCCTAGATCAACTCAGAAGATGAGACCCATTGGTCCACTCCTTCTGGTACAATCCTCACAAATGTCAGGCGAATGCAATTTCCGATTTAAACAAAACTTAGAACTAACTATTATCTTTACCAAGCCTAGATCAAGCCCGAAGGGTCCTCTCCTTGAATTGAATAACTTATTTTATCAACATCACATTGAAGACCTCCGCTAACCACGGCTGAGGATACATATCAGTTGGCAACGCCGATGAAGACATCTTTCCTTGTTTTTGCCTAGTGCTCTAGATGAATAGAAGTCGAACATAACGAATTTTCACTGGGTAAGGGGATCTGCCCAACTAATTCGAATAGCCAGTCTAAATATTGAACCAAAACTTTTTCGAGTAAATAACAAAATTCGAATCTTATGGAGTAATTATTATACTCCGGGAAAATAAACCATTTTTTTTAATTCGGAAACTATGCCGAAGTGGAGCTGTTGATCTCTAATCGGTCAAGAGAGTAAATATTAAGCAGACTTGAAATACAACCATTTGTATTTTTTGTGTAAAATAACAATATTTTTATTCCGGTAAAAAATGATTTGGAATATTTGCCTCTAAGGAGCTGATGACTTCTAATCGGTCGAAAGAGTACAAATATCTCAAAGAATTACTCGGGCTCGGAATGTAGATCCGCAGAAACATAGAGATCAGTGGTAGTTGTGTAGGGTATCATATGGTTGGCCCCGTCGGACTATACTGCTCCGCTCACTGATTTATATTTGTATATCGGCACAATGTATCTGGCTTGCAGGGATCTCCGAGGAATATTTCGAGAGTCATGTAACCTACTTAAGTCTGTAGAATCCTTACGTACCCTTGCTTGTTTACTTCGAAGCAAGAATTCCCCCGTATACTTCCAGGAATACTTTAGACCATACCATGAGGTATACATTTACAATAGATAAAATCGGTCAGCACCTTCATAGCGGACTATATTATATCATGGAACTGCGCTAGAAACTTTAACATACAGAAAATTATGATGGACTATTGAATGGAGACTATAAAGACCATAAAACTATATTGACATTTTTTGGAAAGAAGTTTTTATTCATTAGGAATATGGAATATCTAATTGCAGCCAAGTTGGCGGCGTTTTAAACAAAAAAAAATTGGAAAATTGGTCAGGTCCCTTAAATGGGGCAATATCCAACATTTTCTGCAAAGACATATTTAGGTCTTCTGCTAACGAATCCAATTGGACACTATAGTTTTTTCCAGTATAAATCTACTTTGTGAACTTTTTATGGTATGTTGTTGTAAAATCCTGCCGAATCTTTGTTTAAATAGCTTTAAAGTCTATTGCCTATTACCTTTTTCTTACAGTGTAATTTCCCATATTCTTATTTGAATATTTGTTAAGGTATGATGAAGTATAATCCATTCCTCCTAGATGTAAAGTTTCACTGATGAATTCGACTCTTTATTGCATCCTAAAGCCCATGAGGGTGTTGACCAAAAACCATTCATAAAAACGGAAGAAGTCAACCAGGCTCAACAAACCTTCAGACGCCGAGGCTAATTGAGGAACGCTAAGAAAATAAAATGCATCGTCAGACAATCACAGAGAACCCCATCACTAAAATTATGAAATAACCCAAATAATGATAACCCACGTAAATTTGAAAATATTTCATTCACATTATCTATCTTAACATGAAATTGCTCATACAACAACTTTATCAACTGCACTGCAATCTCACATGTATTTCCACGACACACATCTACACACAAACGTACCAAAACACACTCACAACATTATGCACCGGTTCGTAATTCACTCATTCACACAATGACACTTTTGACCACTTGTTTGACGTGGGGCGTATCGAATTTGAACGTTGGGTAGCCCCATTAAAAATCACACGTTTTTTATTGTGAATTTCCTTCCGTTCAGTGGCACGTTCTCTCCTAGGTTTGCCTTTTGTTCTATTGCCAATTTGCATTTGTATTGAGTTATTGTATTCGTGAATGTGTGTGTGTCTTTTTTCACCATCCAGTCAATTTGTGTACCGTAGGCGTTGAAAATCTATAAGGCTGTGTCATTTACATTAAAAACTTTTTTTTATTTTTTTCATTTCAAATCCCGTTGAAATTCGAAACAAACAGAAAAAAGAAGTGGACAATCGACCGGACACGTTAACGTGTAGCTAAGAGTGGCGTAGACAAACTGCAACTGACCGACGAGTTTTGAATTCGAAGAAATTATTCAAACTAAATGGCAGCGTACAACTGTAGTTAGATTAGAGAATATAAAAGTGTGAGTGTGTGTGTGTGTTTGCGGGTTTTGGGGGGAGAGGAATAACGGTTTAGTTGTGGCCATAAGTTAATGTTCGAAACTGGCGCAATCTCCATTAAAGGATAATAATAAAATATTGTGTCCAACACGAATA